GGCCACATCTTCCCTGGCCCCTTAATTAACCCATCTGAGCAGCATGAGTCCCCAAACCACAGCGCATTGTTCCGTATGCACAGACACGGAGACACATACACGCACAAACACACTGATACGCACATAAAGGCACACACCCACGCACACGCACACTAAAACACACACCTACTCACACGCACATAAAGGCACAAACCCACTCACACGCACACTAAAACACACACCTATTCACACGCACATTAAAACACACGCATGCATGCACTTGCACATAGACACACACACACACACACACACACACACACAAATACACAAACGAAAAGGCAGACACACACAAACACAAATGCTTAAACGCAAAGGCAGACACACACACACACACATACAGACACCAAACCATTCACACAGACAAATACATCCCTCCCCCCAATATATAGCCGGACACTCATACGCACTCTCTCACACACAAACACACAGTCAATTGGTGAGGCTGGGCCCCACACACACTACCTCAGTGAGGGAGAGAGACACGGCAGCCGAACCCTCCGAGTCGGGCTCTGCTCTTTTACACCGGGGTCTGTCTGACAGCCCATACTGTGCTCTGCCATCAGCCATATGACCACGCAAAACACCGGCCACACCGCGCAGCCACAGAGCATATGTCAACCATATCTGATCTCCATCTAACACCAGTTCAGTATAATTACCTCTGAATTGATTTATTACGATATGTCATGTGTACTCCGGCTAGTGTGCACGTTACACGGGCATGATCTGTTTCACATGAAACGGTGGACTTGCATGCATTACACGTGGAAGCTAAACTCAGCCATATCATTCAATCAAACAAAAATGATTCTGGATAAAATCAATCACAAAAATGAAGGATGCAAACAGACTGGCAAGCAGCATGGACAGTGCCTCTGTGGACTCAGGGATGTAATTACTATTCATCAAAGACGACATTTGGGAAAACATGAGTAGAACAAAAAAATCTGAATTATGATAATGCCATGAACATAACCAGTTTGTAAAAAAAAAAAAAAAAAATCAATGGTATTGATTACATATTAAACCGTTTTCAAGGCAACACATAATATTTCTGAGCTATAATAAACCTGGAACTAATACTCTCCTAAATCAGAGGTAATGGCATTGCAAATGACACAGTATCTGATTCTCTTGGAGACTCTGACGTTAAACCCAAGAGCAGCAACCAATTCAAAATTCATTATGAAGGTCTCATTTCAGCTTAAATATGTTTTATGGAGTACATTTTCATTTTATTCAATCTTTCCGAACTAAAGATCACAGCTTTTGGTTCCACTTAATGAAGAACTCACATGTCAGCTTGAACCATGTAGTTAAGTGAAAATTAATAAGGACTTGGACCCTGAGGCTTAATTATGATTATTAGTATTAATATGAACTAAAAAAAAAAAAACATAATTAAATTCTTTGTAGCTTCTTGGTCTCTCGATACATCGGAGACCCCCTGCCTCCTCGCGCCCTCTGTTATTGTGACGGTAATTAGCAACAGACGGTCATCGCAATAACGTTCAGTCCCGCCGCGCTCGAGCTCCAGCTCGCGGGCAGACTGAGGGGGAAAGGCGACAACTGCGAGGATTCTCACTCCATTCTGCGACAGAACTTCACGTCAGTTTTTTTTTTTTTTTTTTTTGTTTAAATCTCTTTCAAATTTCGGTTGTTTCCACAGTCTTTATTGGGACTGGGAAAGGGGGACCTGCCGTCGCGTTTGCTCTTCTGGTCAGACAAGTGACGGTAAGGCAATGCGCAGCTGCGTGACGGCCCCCACCTCCTCTGGGGCAATCACCAAACATCCCGCGCCACGGATGATGAACGATCTGTTATTCCACCCGCCCGCGAATCCGACACAACAGGCACCCCCTCCCCTCCCCTTTTTTTCGGTGAAGTTGATGTACTGTACTGTACAGCTCTCTGACACCCCCAAAGTAAAATTTATATCCATTACCCAGAGGGGACTGCGGTCTTAAGCCAAGGGCTGTCGCAATGAATTGCCTCACAATAGAACATATACAATGAACAAAAACGCGCAATAAGCAGAATATTCCGCCGCACATGTTCTCCTTTCACCTTAAAGGCACATGGCGTTTCTCATGTTTACAATGTGTGGAGTGAGAGCTTCAAACCAGGAAACACATAGCTAAGTTAGCATGCTGTTTATACCGAAGTTTTCTAATTACAATGACTCCAGGTGTTAGTGCTGTTATTTAGAGACTTCCGACATGTTCAACCGAACATTACCGTTACTCAACTTATAATTACAACCCTGAGATGGAAAAAATCCAGATGGTTCTGTAACACAGCCTGGAGGAAGGGCTCTGCTTTACAGGAGGTGCCCTCCGATGAGACTGAATATGATAACCGGGGTATGTAAATGTTATGAATATTGTCATGCTGGATATGATGAAGCAGGGATGCGGATCTCCAGCCCTGGAAAAGGTCAGTGTTAACACTGGTGTTCTTGGCTTCCTTCTACTCAGCAACCAGTTTAGGCCTCGGAGGCAAAATGTGTGGTCTCTCTTTAGCCAATCCATTAGTTTAATTAGGCACCTCAGCACAGAAACACCCCCCCCAAAAAAACTGCATACACACCTGCCCCCCAGGGACTGGGGACTGACACCCCAGCAATAAAAACATCATCATCAAAAACTGTGATGCTAATCTGACCAAAGGGTGGGAGGCTTGGGCCGATACAGACAAAGCTCTTCAAAATAAGAACGCTGATCTAGGATAAGCTTTGCATTTGAGAGCATAATCCATAAGGCTATGGTCCAGAGAGGGGAGACTGATCCTGGATCAGTCTCAGAGATGCTTTTTCTAATGCAGGCCATGACCTAGGATCAGCTCAAGCTTCTCACTCATAAGCCATAAGGTTTGGATACGGGCAGTGAAAACATGATCCTACACATTTTCTCCCCTCACCAGAGCAAGGTGAGACTAGAGAAGACTTTGCTATATATAAACTAAGCCCCAGACAGAGCAGAAGAGTACCGCTGTAAATTTGTGGAGAGAGCCCGTTTCTATAATTCATCCAATCTCTGAACATCTACCTCCCATCACCCTGAGATGCACAATGCTACATTGATTCGTCTCGATGCTTTTTCCAGGCACACAAAAGTGTGCAGCCTTGCCACGGTGAAGAGCCTTTAGAATTTCACCCTCATTTCAGGAAAAAAAAAATCACAAAAACAACCCATTCTTTTGACATAGCGTACACATCCCTCCCCCACCTCCTCCCTTCAGCCTTCACCCCCCCCCCCAGAGAGGGAGAAAGGACAACAGAACAACACTGCAATCGGCACGTTTCGGGGCCACAACAATAGGCCCTCTTCCCTCTGGTTCCCTGTGCGCTTCCCGTCTTCTTCCTTTGCCTTAATACTCATAATGGCAGGACAGCCTTGGAGACATGGCCTTGGAGAGAGACAGAGGGAGAATATCAAAGGAGCGGGCTTCCTCTCCTGGGTACCTCTCTCTGCCTCTGCCCTTTGTGAGCGTGTGAAGGAGTGGAGGGGTGGAGGAGCATCTAATGTTGGGGTTTGAGACAGGAGCAAGGGGATGGCACAAAGATAACCTGAGAATTTGGGAGGAGTGACATGCACGCACGCACCCACACACACCCACACACCCACACACACACACACACACACACACACACCCACACACCCACACACCCACACACACACACACACACACACACACACACACACACACACACACACACACACACGGGAGCACCACAGCAAACTTGGCCAGGTCCTTTTTGGTTTTTCGCATCGGAAAAAGCGTTGGCGGGTATGACTGATCACCAGTTTGGCAGGCTCCATGGGGCTGCATTAAAAAGGACCCTCCATCTTCTGCCTTCCTGCCTCTGACTGTCCATTGCCCCGAACACCAATTAACGCTGACCCCCCCCCCCCCCCCCCCACACCCTACCCTAAAGTGCATGAGCACGTACAAAAAGCGCGCACACACACTAAAATCCCGTCATGAATCACCATAAACATCAATGAAAACCAAAGACTATTAATTATACACCATTTACAGCTAAAGACAAAGAGAGAAGAGCAGGAGAGAGGGAGAGAGAGACACAGAGGCAGACAGAGTATTTACTGGGCGTGTTTGTGTGTGTGCGCGTTTGAGCTCAAGAGCACGTGTGTCTGCACTCTTACGCTATAATTACCGTGTTGGCTGCTCTTTTGAAGAGCGTTGCGAAAATTAGGATGAAAAGGTTGTGCCGTACTTTGGCTGAGAGCTCTTCCCAAAAATACATCACAGATAACTCACTTCAAACCAGGATTAAACACGAGAAACCATTCATTTCATACATTAGTGGGCACTCTACGCTGTCCCAAACGCAGCCGTCAGGAGCTGGAGCTGTATGCCAGACAGCACATGACATTAATGTGCTGCATTTCGCCCAGCCAGAGGAGACCATGAAGTGCTGAATCTAAACTGAGCACCATTTGCCTACACAAGATTAAGCTGTTTACAAGGTCTCTACAGCTTGTAACTGAAGGGTGCATTGTCCAAATGGTCACTTGTGTGTGTGTGTGTGCGCAATAATGCTACCCTGTCAATCTCAAAAATTGCTGTGCGCTTTTTATTCTGCCATTCAGGTGAGATACTCTGTGGTATCCCAGCATGCGGCCTTTAAGGCAGCCATTGTAATGGAATACAAGGTGTGAGAGATACAGCAGTCCAGGTGGGTTTACACAAGTCAGCTTTCAGCCCGCATGTGTTCGGCATATTATATGAAACCAGAGTCTGAATGTAACCCAGCATCAGGGGGGCAGACGAAAGCTTGTTTTAGTTATGTAGGTGATGTTTACATTTAGGCAATTAGCGGCCATTTTTATCCGGAGTGACCAACGCAGTTTACATTTCTACACACTATCCATTTATACAGCTGGATATGTCACAGAAGAAATTTCGGGGAAATGCTTTGCGCAAGGGCGCAGCAGCAATGCCCTGCCTGGGACTTGAACCCACAACCTCTGAGTTGAAAGACCAGCTCCTGACCAATTATACTACACGACTGCCATTAACAATTTGTAATATGACATTAGGAAATATGAGATGGAGGAAGAAGGGGAGGAGAAAGACAGAAAAGAGGGTTTTGAAGTATGAGTCACTTTTCATATTTCCAAGAGCTGTCATATGTAATATTTACAATAAATAATAAGGGAGTCGGAGTACATGGTGTGTCAGTGATATGTGGTATGTTATCAGAGATCAGTAACTCACAGCGCAACATGCCCGTGCCAATGATGTGTGCGATCACAAATCGGTTAGTCACAGCGGAGCATTCTTGTGTGAGTTCCGTTTGCGTGATGCGAGCAGTTTATCAGGGAGGCGAGACGTGACCCGTTCTCCAGGAAGACCCCTCTAATTTCCCACCACAGGCATTCCTGAAAACACAGTCACGCCGCTTGTTCAAAGGCACGGCTCGGCGAATCGTGGAGCGTGGACGTCCGAGAGGCTTTGAGTAAAAAGTATGTGAGGCCTTTGAGTAAGACAGAGTGTGACTATCAGTGAGTCAGGAGCATGAAATCTCCACTCTCCTTCATTTTGGTCAAATGAAACAGAGTCGGGTGTAATCTTCACACAGATCTGTCTGTATCTGTGGGGGGTGCAGGTGTATTTAAGTGTGGGGAGAAGGGATGGGGGTGGGGGGGCAGGGTACCAGAGGAAGACACTTCAAAACACTCAAGGTTACCGTTAACAAAAAGAAAAAAAAAAAAACAGGGAAGAACATTTATCGTTTCCAACAGTTAACGGTAATGAAAGGAATTTTCTCTCTGAGCGTCTAATGCAATAGTAATTGCGGATAGCTGCGGGGGACTGCGTTTGAAGCCCCTTGGGGGGTGGAAACCGAAGTGAGGAAATGGCCGTAGGAATTAAGCACTTCGTAGACAAAAAGGGGAAGCTCGGCGCTTCCGACCTGCACCTTGAACTCCGCCGACGGCCTGTCGCAATGATTCTTTCCGCTTCCTTCGGGTTTCCACACCCTGCTCCTGCAACCAGCCCGGGGGGGGGTGGGGGGTGGGGGCAAGGGTTAAAAGAGCAAACGCTAATTTTTCTTTTTTTAAAAAAAAAAAAACAAAAAAACAATCACCTTCTTTCTTAAGATGAAAAAAAATAAATTTTTTGGGGGGGGGGGGGGGGGGGGGGGGGCTGGACTGGATGGGATTACTCCAAAATTAGATCCCAGTCAGTGAAGTCTGATCCTTCAGTGGTCTGGAGATCCTTAAGAGCTCCTAAGCTCAGTGTTATGGAGGGCTGTGCCTTTGCAGATCTTCATTCCAAACCAATTATTTCTGCTTTAATCAGCACTGTGTGCACCTCTGTGCCTTTTTCCAGATAAAGCACATTACACAGGCAATAACTGCAGCAAAGACAAAAAAAACGGCTAATTTTTCTTTATATGCATTACATGTAAACCAACAGAAGTAATTTAGCATATAATGGATCTAATTATCTGATCAAGAGTGGAAGCTGGAGTGAAGGCCAGGATAAGCACAGCGGTTCCTCTCACTGAATTTGAGATCGCTGCTTTAGCAAAAAACTAATGACTGCAGCGCAGTGCACCATGGGGCCTGTAGTTCTACTGGGCACAGAGGAGCACCATGTTCCTGTACAAATACACTACTCAGCGAGGAGGAACACAAATATCGAACGATGTCATGATCCAAGTTGACAACCAGAAATAGAACTTTTTTTTTGGTGACAGTGGGAACTCGCTCGCATTGATCGGTGTCGAAAAGCGAGGAGACAAGCCTGGGGGGGCCCTCGCAGACAAGCATGCTTTAGATGCCGTGATTCACGTTACTCTGTCCACATGGGTCACCAGCACTGGTCCTGAGGATCTGAAGGGGGTCTGCTGGTTTTTTTCGTTTTCAACTTAAAAGCCAACAGCCGGTTTAGAGCCAACAAACCAGGTGAAGTGAGGTGAGTTAATTGAGAGTTCAATCAAGTCTATTGATACAGAGTGACCACATAAACAAACACACCACACGCTACCAGAGCTGGTTACCTCTGCTCCACCCAGGCACTCAACTCCACAGCAAAAAAAAAAAAAAGGGGCAGCAATAAATTCATAAAATGGGGAGCGTATAGTGTTATGTTAGTGTCACTTGGAGCTTTCCCAGTGCTTTAGGTTACAGGTAGCAGGCATGTGGAGCTCGCTGGCGGATAGTCTTACCCCGCCCGGCGGCCGTGACGACACGCCACAAACTCACAGACACTGACGGAGCATGCTGTGCACGGTGGTTTTAATGCCGAGCAGTGTGGCATAGCTGTGTGTCCGAGAGCGCGACTCAGGAATGCAGGAATGTGCATCTGCGCGGCCGCCTCCCACCGAGACACACAAATCTATCTATTATTAGATGACACGGCCAGGAGGGAAGGGAGACGAGGAGGAGAGCGGAGAGAGACCAGGAGAGGAAAGGCGAGGCCGCCGTGAAGGAGCCTCATGGATCCCTTTCAGGAGGAGAGGGCCGCTGCGACTGAGGTCCCTCCCCAGGGAGGGGTGGGTGGTGAGGAGGGGGGTTCCCGTAGACATCGCACACAGTGAGCAGGGGGTCTACAAATTAACGGCCATGCACGTGGGGACAAGGAGCTGGGGGTCTACAAATTAACAGCCATGCGCGTGGGGACAGGGACAGGCTCGGGGCTAGCACATTAAATTAGAGATCACGTATAACATGCTGCAGTCTGATTTTTTTTTTTGTGTGCGTGCACACGCATACGGTTTTGGTGGTAATTCTCAACAGGGAGCGTCTTCAAAGTCAGGGCACCAGAGAAAAGCCGGTTGAAAAAAAATAAAAAAATCAAAGCAAATTAGGGCAAATTCTGGCAAGGAAGGAGGACGGGGGGGGGGGGGGGGGGGTGGGAGGGTGGGGGGGGGGGTGAATGAAGGAGAGCGTGCAGTCTGCAGTAGAAGGAAAAAGAAAAAGAAAACCCAGTAGGCCGGAGAACAAAAACATAAGGGGATGAGAGGTGAAGAAACAATACAGAGAAAAAAAAAACTACATGGTGGAAAGAGAGAGGATGGAAGTGGAAAAAACAGTAGGGTGGGCAAACAGATTTGGAGAGATGGTGTTTTTGTTGTGTGTGAGTGTGGATGAGAGGAGGAGGAAGAGAGGATGGGAAAGCAGAGAGAGGGGGAGGGAGTATGGAGGGAGCAGGTGAGGGAGTGTTTGGAGAGGTGGGGGATGGGGGGGCATAGGGGCCACTGTCATTTGCCAAATTCCACTGCCATTCATTCAGCAAGGTGGTGTTAACACACGGTCACACTAAACGTGCCCCTCCAGGCAACGCATACTGCAAACAGTGCCGCTGCATAACAATTACATTCATTATCATATATAACACAATGTTTCTGTCATAAGAAAGAGCAGTATAATGGATATTAAACACCCCAGATTTTAGTTTTTACAGCAACATATCTCAGATAGAACAAACTGAAAACAAGAGGAGTAAACTTACTGCAACTTGCTATTACAAACTGAGCTTAACGCCACCTAAACATACTGTAGACACTGTACCCTGGAGGTCCTGCATAAATCTCAGTAGCACAATAGCCGTCTGTGCCACCGAGAGGTTAAGTCCTGCAATGCAAGCTGCTCGGTTATTCTAATCTACAAAACACCTCACTTTAATTATCGTGAGAAATTTTTCCCAATCAAACGTGTGCAAGAAAAAACTGATTTATCTTTTTTCTAATTTGTTCAGACCACCATAAATGCCAACGGCTGATTCTAAAATTCTACTACTTCTTCAGTGCAGGAAGAATGAATTACCTAAATGTTTTCCCCAACTATTACGAGCTTGCTAGGTTAGCTACTTTCTTTGATCTAAAATAATTTAACTATACTGAAGAACTTAACTATCCTGTACATTATCGATAACGTTATTTAAGTTTCGAAAGACAACAGCAAAGTGCCGTGAACTCTCATATTCAAGCCCAACAGAGTCGTATAGAAAATGACAAACAGGGGGTCTCGCACGTACACGCTACCATTGGCATATCCATTACAAAGTGCACTAAGACAGATCAAAAGAAAACGTAGCCATCCACTGACAAACGGCAGACGCTGCAGCAGCTGGGTTTTAGCTGTGCGCCGAGTTACGGAGCAGAGATCAGCCCAGACCTGGGGCGCCGGCGTGGTCCGACTTAACCCTTACTACCAAATGACATTGCCCTGAGCCACTTCACGAATGCGTCGCAGACTTACAATTCCAGACCATTACAGAGTTCTGCATCGTCGCAACGTTAAATGAGGAGAAACCACACCAGCAAATGTTTTCCCCTAGTGCTTTCATATTTTGAAACCTACTCCGCGCCTCATTTTCCGTTGCAATCCACCTGTTCTTTTATACGCATCATGCACTAAATGCGCTACCGCCTGGTCGAACGACTGGAGTGCTGAAGCAAGGACACAAATAGAATCTCGTAAACTAAGTAAAAATAAGAATTGTCCTTGGTTAAATGCGCTTAGCTTACGCATACCGCTGCGCATACAAAGAGTTCTCGACGCAGAACATGCTAAACATTCAAAGTACTGCGTACTGCCTTGCACTTAACATGTTCCACGAAAGTACAGTTTGCGCTAGTAAACAGCAACACAACGAAGCGCCAACTCGTAAAAACATTGGAAGACTAGGTCGGTGGAAAGGAAATGTCGAAAAATCATTTTAACAACTTCTGAAATCACTTCAATGAGAACAAGAGCCAGGCTTACCTTGTAGAAACCAAAGCAGCAAGGTACAGAGAAGCGGGCTTAGTCGGAATCTCAACATCTTTTCCATGGCTCGGTTCTAACTTTACAAGGGTTTTCTGGGTCTTTGTTTATGGGATTTATTGGCGACTGTAGTTGTTTAATCGCCCACAACTCCGCTGTTTCGCTGGTTCAAGTCTTCTGCACCTCCCTTGCGCTTTCCCTCCCTCTCTCTCTCTCTCTTTCCCTCTGTGAGAAATCTGATTCGGGTGGCAGTGTCTTGCTTGATATATTTGCACAAAAGGTGACCCCCCCCC